TAAAGCCTCCTTAGACAAAGCACTCCCTGTATTTATGAAGCAGACTTTTTCCAGAGCCAAGTAAGTAACAGGTTTGATATTATTTCTTCAAAATACTAGCAGCAATTGAATTGTTTCATAGGCTTATATTACCTGCCAGTTTTCCTTTGTTTGAACTAAGGTTGTTTAATAATTATTTCAAGAGGATAAAAATTGTTCCCAAGCTGAAAGTCAGTATGCCAAGTTACAGCCCAGAGCAGGCTTTTATCAATAAATTTTACACAAACCTGAAAAAAACCAAGTTTACAATGGAAACACTGACAGAATTTGAGCTATACCAGAACCAGTAAGTTACTGCTTTAAATGGGTTGGAATGATGAGGTGGTTAAACTGGAACACCTTTATGAATGCGACACATTGATGACAGCTGCTGGAAGTTTTGGCAGCTAGAACTGGGTCTAGCTGAAGAAAATTACTACTAGAGAGTGTGGGGGAGAGCCCTGTGGTCAGAGAGATCTCTTGGGAGGGCATACACAGCTGATGTGCACACCAGTGTCTGTCAGCTAGAATGGACTTGCGGTTTTGGTGACAGGCAAGCAGTACAGCAGGTGAAGTCTCTCTGCAATAGCCTCTTCCATTAAATACTGGTTTCAGATGCCAGGATTGCATCTCCTTGCACTTAGAGCTGTTGTTTGTGCAGGACTGGGCTCTTACACTCTTCTGATTATGGATCAAAATCTGTACATGTGCTAAAGTTGGGCTTTTTGAACAGATTTGTAGTTGCCCGTGCTGCTCTTACCAAGACGACAGATTAGAAATTCTACAGATACACATCTTAAATGAAAAGTGGTAGTGATTGCTGTGTCGGTCATAGGATTTTTCCTTGATGCTTTTTTTTCTCTCGTGAGAAGTTGCTAATTTCCTAAAGTTGTTTTATTCTGAATAATTATTCTGGATGTCATACTGAGGAAACTGAAAGATGTACATTTGTGTATAATTTTAGAAGTGCAATGTTTTGTTTTCACAGACTATCATCTGTCAATATACAAAGCTCGGTACCTTCTGATGATGTTGTTAATGTTTTTGTCAAAGCAATACAGGTACACTTCAAGGAAATTTTTGAGGTGCAAAAGACACTCAGAGACGAGTAGCAGTTACTGTTCTCAAACACTGTATATTCATGCCCCTCGGCAAGAATCACTTCTACGCGATAGGGTACCTAACAGGGGTGAACGTGTAGCGAAGGAACAAGGATAAGTAATTCTGTAAAACATGTGATGTCTCTTGTACAGTTTTTTCAATCTCAGCTGCTAAATAATTATCACCAGTAATACCTGAACAGCTTCCTTACATCAGTAGGTTGGGGATCTGTTTGATTATAAAACTTCTGGCTTAAAACTGGTCAACTGAATCACAAGAATCCTGTGAACTGTTAAGCAAAAGCCAACCAATTAACACTGTCAACTGTTTTTAGTGTGCGTACAGTCATCTGAAATGAGATTCTCTAGTGTTCAGCTTTGTCTGAACAGTGAGGAACTGGAGTGTGTGCCTCAACCTTCTGACACCATTTCCAATCTCTTTGTGTCTTCATTCAGCAGCACTCTTCCCTGCTGTGACTAGTACACGTGAGGGTATTTCTGTCTTGTATTGCCTTTGTGTGCTTGTTAAAAAAGAATCAGCAAATCTGCTGAGTGCATGCTTAATGTAACACAGATGTGGGCACACCACCGTTCATTCTGCTTTACAAATCTTCAGCTTTTTGTATTTCATCAGCGTTGCTTATTATTTACAGAACGTAACTTGAGACAGTAGAACAAATTTTTAGATTAAAAAAGTCAAGTCGTGTGGAATGTTTTTAGCTGTCCAGACCAAACACACCAGTTTGCCAAGGGGCTGATGAACTAAATCAATGCAATTTATGCTAGCACTAGTGGCACGTAGTTGAAAAGCAGCTGACCTTACCGCTTACCGCCAAGAGGAGAATTGTCTTTTATCACCAGGATGAACATTTTAGCATGGAGGAGCAGTGGGGGCCAAAAGCACTGTACTCTTAAGTACTTTTTCCATTTAAAAACAAAACCAAAACCCGAAAACAACCACAACCAAACCCACAACTCAGAAATTGCCAAGCCTTCCAGAAATTCATTGTCGTGCCTAGTAGTACTTCTATAGTACTAGTACTTTTTCACTGACGTGCTTCTAAGCCAGGCATTAGAAACCAGTGTTTGCTGATGTTCTGGTTTCTATGGAATAAGATTAAAAGGCCCTATTCTTTCCTCATTTCTGCAGTAGTCTTGCTTGCAATGTTTCAAATACCTCTTCTCACAGTACTACAGACTATTAGGAAAAATAGCACAGTTGAACGTTTATCTGAATTATGGTAATGTAAAAACCATTATGCAGTGTTGTTGCTCACTCCCATGTGGATGGTTATGTAACTTCCCTGAACGTGTAATAGGAAAGTGTCTAAGTAAAAGTTACTGATTGGCCAAAGTTAATTAAAACCTGTTCATTATGCTTCAGACGTTCACTCTTTAAACTTGTCAGTAGAAGCTACAGGTGCTGCAGAGAGGTTTAGCAGCCAATGGGGGCTTCTTCAGTAAGTGAAATTTTGTCATTTTCCTGCGTTTGGAAGTGAGGAAGTAGGACAAGCAGAAAGACATGAATGACACTGGTTGGAACCCTTTAACTTCTTTGGAACCTGGCCTCAACATCCTGCATGTCATGAAGGCAAACACATCCTTTTGTTTACTACTTTGTAAGAATCAAATAGGTAAAAACAGGCACTTTTTTGCTCACCTCTGGTGTAAGTTCACGAGGATAACAATACTGTCATGTAACTGTACCTGGTACAGGAGAGGTGACTTGCTTCAGAGTTGTAGTACTTAATAGTGAAGTTCTAACTACCGCATACAGCTGTTACTCAGTGGAATAATTTTAAGTCATACATAGGTTGTGGAAGTAATCTATTTACTTGCTGTTTAGGTTATTCTGACTCAGAGAAATGCTAGTAATGGAAGAATATAGTTTTAAGAAATTGCACTTTTTGCAAATGAGGAAAACTAAGTACCTTTATGCAGCAAATGGCAATTTTCATACTGGCATTTTTTAGCTTGGATATAACACTGTAATTATAACTAACGAATGTCTAACCAAAAACAAAAGCAGAGCAGCAGGACAGGTAAAGCAGTGAAAACATCCGTCAGCAGAGGTAGAACTGAAAATTTGACTGATAACATTTTACTGGCAGCATTAATGACAACATTTGTTATGGTTTCTTAAGCTCCTGCTCTGTTTCGCATTCTTGTAGTTGGAGAATTTCCACTCTTCATTTCATCCTCCCGGCTGACAAACTGACTTTCCATCTTAGCATAACCATAGTTCAGTTGAAGTGAAGTCAACAGCTTTTTGTCTCTCCTGAAGTTTCTCTCAAAGAGGATCAGTGATAAGCGCTACGTCAGAGCCCCTGTAATTTGTTACACAGGTCAGGGATGTAATAATCTCATTAACAAAATCAGAATTTACTAGATAGTAGTAATGTATTAAAACTATAGACTGGCTGATGTTTTTTCTCTGCTGGGCTCAAAGCAAGTGTCTTTGGCTTCTATACCTTGTTTGCAACATACAATGCTGATACCAGACAGAGCAGCAATAGCCAAAACACATGGAGAGGCCAGTCACCCAATGGGAGAGCAGCAAAGATGATACTAAGTCATGAAACACATGTGAGAGATTCTGTTTTTACTGCAGCCAAAAAGGGAAGGGGCAAAAAACAATGTCTGTCACCATTAAAAGGCAAAGGTGTCAAAGACTCGAAGGAAAACAAATTTTGAAAGGGTGTATGGGTTGCAGGTCTGGGACAGGACTGCTGAAAGGGAAAGGTAACAAAGGAACAAGGCTCCAGAGAAAACATCTGCAGAAAGCACAGCTTAGAAGACAAGTACGCTTGCGTGCTTACTGCCAAGCAGCTTAAAAAGAAAATGCGTTGTTACATGTTGGGGTTTTTTTTTCCTGTCTTTTTGATCAAAAAGCATAGAAACAGGTCATTGTACAGGATCTTTACAAAGCATCAAGATGGGAAGTAGAGAGCACTAATGAAAAATGGTGTATTTGGCTCAGAAAATTGCTAACAGCAGTAGCCTGAGAGAGAGATGAAAAAGCATGCGGCAGACCCAGAGTGATGCTGTTGGGAAGGCACAGAGAATAAAGCAGGGCTAGGCAGCCTGTAACACAATTCTTCAGGGGTAGGGCGTTCCAAAAGCTTAAAGGAATTCAGAATATTATTTTTTAACAAAATACTGCTAAGGGAGGAACCTAGCCTGCAGTTGTTTAGCACTGTGACCAGTATCAACTTCTGATGTCTGTTAGGCCACACGGGTGTATCTTTTTATTATTGTAATTTTTTAATAGATGCTCAAGAAAGGCAAAGCATGCTAAACCCTACTATGGAGACTCTAATTAACTGTGGATTTTTCTTTTGTCTTAACTGCATGTGCCGATTCCCATAACCCTTTCCAGACTACTGATGCTGTCCATCAATGTGAGCTCCATCTAGGTTGATGTACTCTTATTTTCTGTAGAGAAGTGAGAAGAAACAGTCAAATCAGTAAAACTCTGCTGATGAATAGATCCCAAAATCTGCAGACAGTATGCTCGGTGTAGGTTGCTCTTCCTCCTATTAATTTAGCATACCGCCCCTTAATTGTAGAGGAAAACTAGGAGATATTTCTTTGAAATGTAAAGCTGTATGAATAGACACCATGTCTTCCAGATCAAGTATTACAGAATATATGCAGTATTTGTGAAAACCTTGTATTTTTAAAGGCCTTGTCATACCTCATATTTCAAAATAAATACAACTTTGTGTGCTGACAGGTTTAAGTGGAAGCAAAAGTGCTGCTGTTGCACTAAGTCATTTCTCTGCATCTATTTTGCACGTAGGACACAAGCGGAAAGAGGGAGAAAGCCAC